TTTTAGACTCACTGATTTTTTTGTCTTTCATGTACAAATTTCATAAGTTTTTTTATAAAAAAAATCCAGTTTTTAATGTTAGCAAGTTTTATGGCAAGTTACATTATTTGAGACAAATGTCACTATACACCAAGGTATATGATACTGTCATAATATTACAATATATGTTATAAAACTAATGAACCAGAGTAATAACATTTTTAATCAGATATGGTTTTTTTTTATTTTAAAAAGTAGTGCTTGTTATGTTTAACAAGATTTTCACTCAAAGTGGCTCATTTTCATGTTTAAAAAGGTAATGGTTCTCTGAAAATTCATGTATGCAGATGGATGACATAAGAGGAAAATATCAAGACGGTGCAGTCTTAGAAATGAAATTGTCTAACAGTTCTTCATTTCTAAGAATGCCAGGAATGAAGAAGTTTCTTGCAGAGCAATTAGACGGTTGTAGCATTGAGAATGCCGAGACAATGCATGGAAAAATCTACTGTAGGTGATGGCTGGTATTTTTATTCTCAGACAGTATTTATTTCATCCTTCTTCAAATAAAAATTTAAAATACTTCCTTCAGAATGTTCTTTATGACTCATCCACAGCAACACAAAAACAGCTCAAAGAAATTGATAGACCTGGTAACAAATAGAAGTGTAAAAATGATGGCACCCCGGAAGTCATGAGTAGAGCTTAGAACAAACCCCGTGGGAGCAAGGCCTACTACGACACTGTGGTTTAGGCGTGACCAAGGATTACTGCATTCACAGGGAAGGCTGTGCTGTTTAAAAGTCTTTCTAAATAAGTGGTTGCAAATGAAGACTTTCTCATGAATACATATTTATGAAATATACCACATTTCCAGAGGTATAGTTATTATGCACCGAGTCCCTTAGGAGCATGCACAACTGTGACAAAAACCTAGTCCTGGGTGACCTTGCCAAGCACATGCAAGTCCTTCCCCGTGTGTACTGTGAGCCCCTTCTGCTCAGGGCTCTGAGGCTGCAGCATCAACAGGCTGAGTTCCCGACTCTTGAAGCCAGCCTGCTTGTGGAGCTCCAACCAAATCCAGCATTTACAGTGTATCTGTCACTCCGCACGGGTTGGAGTGGAGGAGTCCCTTTAATCGTCAGCAGAGCTGAGCGGGGACCTGCTGCTCTTCTCTTTAGAGATGAAGACTAAAATAGACAAGTCATGAAACGTACTTCCTTAGCCCTCTTCCGGTTTTCTGTTTTCCCATAGTTTCTATACAAACAAAATTGTATTTTATACAAAAACCCTGCTCTCACTATTTTTCTCTCTTTGTGATCTTAAAACACAAGCACAAGCCAGTGGACCATGCTTTGCAGGAAGTAAAGGCATGATTAAGAGCAGAATGGCCTGGTTACCACCCTATCATTAGGTGCCTGGTCTGCTAATACCTTACGTCACCTTAGTGAGCTCCAGTTTAGTCCTTTGTAAAACAGAACCAATTGCTCCTGGGCATGGGCTAGGTCAGATGGGAGCAGTGAAATGGGAGCACTGGGCAGTCCCAGACTCTGCAGAAGCTGTGCTGCCCAGAGCAGACCCACACCGCACGGGAGCTCCGGGAGTGCTCACTGTCCAGCTGCTTCTCATCACTCAACCGTAAGGAATACAAATATTTACTGGTTACTTGTCAATATCTGCTAGATATTAACAGCAATTACAGATTAAAATTACTTTAAAAACATACTTCAGATGATAAGATAAAAATTGGGTATTATCTTTACATAGTGTGAACAGAATGTTTTTTATTACAAAGTCCTCTGCATTCACACTGGCCATTTTAGTTAAAGCTTTGGTCTGGGTGGTTTAATTTTTCTTGGCATTACAGTGAAAGCTTGAAAGGCTATTAATTGGAATGTAAAAGCACAGTTTTTAATTTGCCATAGGCACTTGGACAAGAAGTTTCACGGAGGGCATGACCTCCCTGGAAAATCACCTGGCACAAAAAATAAACAGGAAGTTAAAGTAGACTGTACTTGAAAAAGTACTTCAGCTTTTGAAGAAACTATGAAGAAAGGATCGTAAATAACCATCCCTTGAAATAGAACGGATAAAAACCTTTCAGTAGTGAAATGAGCCCTGTTGTTCCCTCACCCTCATGGGGCTTCAGGGGGACGGGATGAAGTCACCAGGCCCTGCCTGTGACCTCTTACCACTCTATTTTCACTGCCCATTCACTGCTATCACAGGCCTGGAAAACTGGTACAAGCCACTTTGTAAAGAGACATTGAGACAAAAAGCTAGCCTGTCTACATCAGTACATTAAAAACATACCTGTATTTTCATTTTTTCTAGCACTACTCACAAAAGTAAAGATACACATGTTGGAATATTATTAATCAATATGAAGTAATATCTTGTCAATAATAATATCCACATATAGACAGGATTAACGTCCTGGCAACACAGATGAACTTGGAGAACATTACATTCAGTGAAGTAAGTTGGGCACAGACAACCAAAGCCCCATGTTCTCATCCATGTGTGGAAGTTAAATGAGATGCTTTCAGTGGAGAGAGAATACTGATTGCTGAACCGGAGAAGTTAGGAGGGTGGGTGCCAGAATTCTGCAGCACAGTGTGGTAGATGTAGTTTCTAGCAGTTTGTTGTTCCCAAATTACTAGAAGAAAGGATTCTGAATGTTCCCAACACAAACAGTAAGGTCTGAGGTGATGGCATGCCCCTAATTATCTTTATTTGATTGTTCTCTACTGCTAAATGTTGCATATATACATGAAAATACTGTACTCACAATTACTATGTGTCAATTAAAAAGTTTTAAAATACTGAATTCCTAAGATGATGTAGTTAGAGTGAACACATACATTATCCTGTAAAAAGTTGAAAAGTATATTTTTCATTTTATTTGGTTATTGAATGGAAAAATGTAACTGTAAATTTGTCTACAATATACCATAACTATGACCTACACACATATATATATAGTTAATATCTTCTAAATGGAATAGATAAGTTTCCAAGGTTTTACTATCATCACTTTCACAGGCTGTTTAACTCCTCGGCGTCAGACTGAGCACGTCAGCTTCACAGTCAGCTACTCAGAAACTTAAATTTGTTCTACCTCCTACCAGACTTCGATCTCAGGAGAATGACTTGCTGGGGTGGTTGTTTTCCAATTTTAAAATGGAGAGATTGCCACTTGTCTGGCAGTCACATTAGGGAACTGAATGGGTTGACAAGGTCTGGTACATGGAAAGTTCACTGAAACGGAAGCTGCCATCATCCTCACCACATCGGCATCAGCATCACCAATTTTATTGTCTCCCCAACTTTCTAACTACCCATACTACTAAACTACAATGTGTCCTGTGGATAGCATCAGAAAACTTACCTGAGCATTTAGGTAGGTGACAACGTGTACAACCATTAGAAGAGTTAAAGTATAAATCCCTTACATTTCTTTCTTGCTATTTCTATATATCAGAACCATTGAGAATTAATGCTTTTACCCCCCAAAACAGCATTTCTAGAATAAGTTTCCTTTAAATCAATAAGATCTAGTTCAGGAGAAAAGATCTTTATTTGTGAATTTTGACAAGAACTAAGCCTTGTGAGAGTGAATCAAGACAGCCAAATACAGGATTACTTTACACTTACTAAAAAAAAAAAAAATCTCAAATCATATTGTATTCAGGTCTATAATAAATTTGTAAATATTGATAATCAAATTTAAAACACACATTTAATCTTGTCCTAAATAATGGTAAAGCCTATAAAAAAGTAAAAATGTTTTATGTCTAGTTATATAATTATATTTTTAGATAAAGAAGCAATGAATATTTTTGTTTGCAGAGGATGACCCAGGCTCTAATAGCAGGTTATATTACTGTGTAGAGCATACAAAAGTTAATACAGATTATATGAACTAACATTTGTCCAAAATTAAAATTAAACATGTAAATGTTAATAGTGAGTTTAAAAAAAATTGCTTTTAAATATATTGGGCAACATAGAGAACTATTAAGTAAGGACAATCTCCTTTGTAATATCAGACTTCCTATAATTTACATAATACTGATAAATATTTTCAAATGAAGGCTTTGGGCACTAAAGGAAAAACAAAGCATGTACTTAATTTTATCTTTTCCAACTTACAATGTAACCTGAACTTTAAGGAAAATGATCACAAAAACACAATCATGCTAGAACAGGCTAGCTACAACATTTGAGAATGAATGATTCTGAAGCCGGGCGGTGGTGGCGCACGCCTTTAATCCCAGCACTCGGGAGGCAGAGCCAGGCGGATCTCTGTGAGTTCGAGGC